TATTGTTTGTTCAAAGTCGAGTAATGTATTGTCATTATAATTTTATTTTGACATTAGTCAAATGCCCACAATGGCACAATATGTCTTACAGTATTAAAATTCGCGCAGTACTAGAATTCGCGCAGCGCTGGGTGAGCAAATTTTAGCACTGCGCGAAATATAATCCGCGCGAAAAACGTTGTGGTAGTAAAGATAAAGCGTGCGTTTAAAATAACAAGAACTAAAACACTTATTGCATGGTTCTCATTTGTCTAATATTAATACAATAATAGTACGACGCGAATTTTAACAAGTAAGGTATGGTATCATATTTCATTATATATAAACGAACAATGTAAACTAGCCATACATTTCGCCGAACATAACATCGGCCCCTTTGGACATATCTTTTTCGTTATAGTCTCATTCGAACCAGAATCCAAAACACCAGGGACGCCGGAACTGGGGGGCAGGAGGGGCAGCCGCCCCCGTTGCCCTTCACCAGGAGGGGCAAGGGGGGCAAAGGTGCCCTTTCAATATAAAGAATTGCCTTGGCGAAATAGAGAATTGTCAGAAATGTTAGTGCAATTCTTTTACGAATTTGCTTCAGAAAACGCAAGAAATGCAGTCATCCGAGCTTCAAGAATAGCACAATCGCCTGGCAGAGAACCCCCTCACACCCTTATCATCCAATAACTAGAAAACATGATTAGGCGAAGTTCAACTCTCGATGTTTTGCAAACATCTCTTAGTAATCTATCAATTCAAAAGTGCCCTTTCACGAAAATCTGCCCCCCCCCCCTTGCCTTCACATCGTTCCAGCGTCCCTGCAAAACACTATTCACAGTGTTATTTTCAAGCTTGTGTCTTCAGATTTTCATCTTTTATTTCGGTATTTACAGAATATTTATATTTTTAGCGCGGCCCGTTAAACGTTCCTACATCAAAACAGCTGTTTACATGCTAGGGGTTTGGAAAAACTGGAAATCGATTCTACAGGTCAAAGTACTCCCAGTGGCATGGTTTGCACGTTCATCGGGCTATATACGCATACACGCAAGAATACACGTGGCGCGCGCGTGCGAGTAAAAACCCTATATTTTGAAAAATTCAAAATAAATATTTCTGCTCGCCTTATTCAAACGAAGCTTCCTACACGAAAGCGCTTTAATACAAGGAGTATTTTACTCATATTGACTCCGGCGACGTGCTGCGGTCTTGAAAAGGACGATGAATGAGCAACGTCTGATGCGCCCAGGCCCAGTGACCGGATGGATCAAGATTGATGCGGGGGGTATTACTGATCAAACATGAAACATTTCAGTAATGTTTTCGTAAATTTAGATTTTTTAAATATAAATTGTAATCTCTTAATCTTGATTTTCAGAATTAAAATCTATATTGTAAAGTTAAAATCTGCAATTAGAAACAACAAAAATCGTAAAAATTGGGGTGACGAAAAATTAAGTCGTTTACTGGCACTGACGAGTAAAATTGTCTGGCGTTGATAGCAGGACCGTAGCAACCGGGGGTCTGGGGTCTTCAGCCCCGCCCCCTCCCCCTCCCCCTCCAAAAAAAACAAACTTGTAAACTAGCGATAATCTGTGAAGTTTAAGAGGGATATAATTACCTAATAATCACCCTTGACTAATCAGCTCCCCCAATACAAAATTGCTTCCTACAGGTAGTGGATAGGCAGTAACTACTAAAGTACGGCGCATTGCCAGCCAATGGCGGTTAATAAGAGACATTAGCAGATACTGACAGTACTCTACAACTGACAAGTAAAATCGTCTGGCGTTACAGAGTGTAAATTTGTCTGGTGTTAGACAGAGTTAATACTAAAGTGGGGTGCATTATCAGCTAATGGGTATGCCGTTTATCCACTTTTGACCCAATGGCAACTTTTCCATGTTGGTTATTTACTCATGTTCCGTGCACGCAATTTAAGAATAAGTTCATTGGGTCAAAAGTAAACGGCATGTAGTAAAACACTGACTACCGGAACACCGGAACACCACCGGAACAACATCGGAACACCACCAGAACACCGGAACACCACCTAACCCTAACCCCAACCCTAACCCCCAACCCTAACCCCCAACCCTAACCCCAAACCCTAACCCTAACCCCAAACAAAATGGTGGTGTTCCGGTGTTCCGGTGGTGTTCCGGTGTTCCGGTAGTCAGTGTTTTACTACATGCCAAAGTAAACTCCCCTTTGGAGTGGTTTTGCATTTTTGAAGGTATCCCTTGTTATCATGATACGATGATACGAAGTGAAAATGTTTACGTAATAACTATATGACCGCGCTATTACAAAAGCCTGGGTAACCTATATTATTGCGTGATACGATGATACGATGATACGAAGTGAAATAGCACGTATACAGTATATGTGTTTGCCTCGTTCTTTGAAAGACATGTATATCTCTTTGTCTCGTTCTTTGAAAACCTTACCCGTGGGCCATATCTAATTATTTACAAATCCAAAAATATAGCTTACCCAGACTTTTATAAATATATAGTTATTACGTAATCATTTTCACTTCGTATCATCGTATCAGCCAAAAATATAGTTTCCACAGACTTTTATAATAGCGCAAATATATAGTTATTACGTAATCATTTTCACTTCGTATCATCGTATCATCGTATCGGCCAAAAAATAGCTTATCCAGACTTTTATAATAGCGCAAATATATAGTTATTACGTAATCATTTTCACTTCGTATCATCGTATCATCGTATCGGCCAAAAAATAGCTTATCCAGACTTTTATAATAGCGCAAATATATAGTTATTACGTAATCATTTTCACTTCGTATCATCGTATCATCGTATCAGCCAAAAATATAGCTTACCCAGACTTTTATAATAGCGCAGTTATATAGTTATTACGTAATCATTTTCACTTCGTATCATCGTATCAGCCAAAAATATAGCTTACCCAGACTTTTATAATAGCGCAAATATATAGTTATTACGTAATCATTTTCACTTCGTATCATCGTATCATCGTATCAGCCAAAAATATAGTTTACGCAGACTTTTGTAATAGCGCAAATATATAGTTATTACGTAATCATTTTCACTTCGTATCATCGTATCATGATAACAGGTGAGATCTTCAAAAGTGGACGGGTATTCTGCAATCGCTCCCTATGTGGTTTCAAACATGCTTTGGGGAAAGCCAAACAAGTGCAAAACCCAGTATTTACTATAATGTGTTTATTCAAAATTAGAATTGTTGATTTTAACCAATATTTGACGGCACTGAAATGAAATAACTTCAATATAAAACGTAAACTACGTACGAATTCTCCCGCGTGCAAATTCCAATTTTAGCAGCAGCAACAATAACAACCACGAATGGACGTTGTAATTATATGATATAAACAATTATTTTTCATACCTGAGATCAAATAAGCCTTTGGCAGGTTCGGAGTCACTTGTCCAATAAAAAATATAACGAAAATCTGTCAAAAGCAGGCTTTTCTTCGTCGAAATATACTCGAACGAAAAAGTAAAAAAATTGCAAATCACACGTTTCACACAACCTCGTCCCCAGGGCCTATTGAGGAAGGAGGCGAAGCAGCAAAGGCCCTGGTAAAGGCTGGTCACGTGATGCTTCAAATTTTGAATATTTCAGAATATTTAACTTTTCAAACCGGGGGTGCGGGCCGCTTTGATTTTATCAAACATGGCCGTGCAAAGGGGCGATAGAAGCTTTTGCGACTGAAACCAGAGACTGAAACTATGATGATAAACTTTTCAACTGACAGTGGAAATAAATATATAGTCTGCGATGTTCTTTAAAAAAATATGGAATATAATCAACAGCAATACTTGTCGAAGATCAAGATTCAAAGAGAAGAGTCTAAACACTGACTGACGACAGTAAATATTTCTTTTCAGCTTGGAAGCGTGTTTTATTTGATTTGGGACTTTGATGTACCTTTATGAAAAGATTACTACTGAATACAAATGTGCATGTAAAATGTGATTAGAACGTTTTAATATGAACAGTTGCACTGGCATAGTGTCATTGACTCAATATATTTTAATGTGGGACAAACATTAAAAAACATTAAAGTACTGTGCCAAGTGACAAAATTCCATGCCGACGATGGGTTACGTATGTATGCATTTTTATTAAATGTTTATACCAATATACATTATTTTAAACCTTTATGTGTGAATTTTGTGTGTTGATTTTATGATATTTGACAACCATGAATATTAATAATATAATATGTTAACAGCAAGTTTACAGTATATCGTATAATACAAAAGCAATATCACAAGACTCAAGTACTGTACATGGTCTAATAGATGTTTCTTAGTCAGCAACTATGCTCTTTGACATTGTGGAAATCAGGTATTCTTGGGGCTTTTAGCTTGGTTTTTCACTTTTTTGATACAACTATAGAATACCCACAACTTTCACACCTTACCGCTATTAATTCCTTGTAAACATTGTCAATTTACTCAAAATTGATCTAATATGATTGCCTCATTCTTCAAAACCCCCCAGTCAAATTTGAACCAAACTAACATACTCATATGATTTAATCGCTAAACTTTACCCTTAAACTATTTTGAAGTGATTCTTCTACTTATTTATGTGTCAATGAATGCGGGAAAATGGCGAGGTATCCTATAAGCATTGCGGCATGTGTGTTTTTGAACCTTCACTGTTGAGAGAGCATGCCATGGGTCTCCCCAAATTATCTGAGCACTTCAACCAGACCAACAGCTGCCAAATGGCAACTGCTATGCTCAGAGGTGTAACTTACACTTGCCCGGGGCAAGTGAATATCATGACGGGCAAGTAAAAGATTCCTCTTGGTTGCCCGAACGGGCAAGTTGCTTTGCCACAAAAAGCTGGCCAGCTTTCAGTTTATATTATTATTGTCGGATAGAACAAAGGCTGTTCGACGACATTGGTTCAAGCTGGCACATAGGCGTACCGGGCCGGGGGGGGGGAGGGCGGTAGCCCCCCAGTTTTTTGGGCAGTCGGGCAATATTCGATCAACAGTCGGGCAATTTTGGTTTGCAATAAATTCTGACAAATTCTGACAAATTCTGACAATTTTGTCTAAAATTGAGTAGAATTTTTGGCAAATTTTGTTATTTTTCGAAAATTTGTGTCATGTTCCGAAAAATATTGGTTGTCCGGAAAATTTTTTTGACCCCTAAAATGGTACACTGACCGAAATTTTTTTGGGGGGGGGGGGGGGGGGGGAGGTCGCCAAAATAATTTTTCCGGAAAATTTTTTTGGTACTAGTCGGGCAGAATCCCGAAAAGTCGGGCAATTTTCTTTCCGCCCCCTAATTTTTTCCTTCCGGTACGCCCATGAGCTGGCAAATCATCTGCATCAAATTCATCTAAATTGTTTGATTAGGCCATATAAAATAAATTCCTTGATTCTCATCACCGCCCGACGATATTTTGGTTTCCGCGTTGATATATTTTTGTATTTTGTTATAAAATATAAATTTACCGCCCGACCGAGCATCTTCAGAGATTTAGTTATTTTTATATTTTATATTGGAATTTTTGCGATATAAAATTGTTTTATCGTTAATATTGCAACATGTTAAGGGATCCTTGGAATATACGGAAGGAAAAAATGGGCTTATAGCCTTATTACAACGATTTGTGTTGACCCTTATGCATGTTCATTAGCGCATGTGCAATTATCCACTTACATAGCGTTCTTCTAGAATATATGTAAGGGCAAATATAAAAAGACCTCCCTCTCCAATTTTTTTAAATTTTAAACTTTTTTTTATATTTTGACATAAAATATAAAATATAAACCTCCCGCCTCCTGGGAGTTTTTAAAATTTAGCGATGAGAATCAAGGAATTTATTTTATATGGCCTTATATTATGCATTGATTCTCTTTTTGGTTATTAAATGTTTATTCATGATATGATAACGAAATATGGCAGGACTTAATTTATGGCAGGACTTAATTTGGGACTTTATTAGTCCTGTTGTCTGTGCCTTCAATTTCTTATTGTAAAACTAATAAAAAATAAATAAAATAATGGTGATTAGTGTTACATTAAATAAGTGTACTTGATTCAAATTTTGTTTAATATGTGAGCCAAAGCTAGATCTGAGGTAGTCTAGATCAGAGGCAGTAACATAGCCAATGCGACTAGTCCAATGAGTGGATATGTTGTCTCTCTAATTCATACTGGCCCGCGTAGGTACCCCATTGCCTGATGGCAAGTGGATTTTATTCAGGGCAACCAATTTTCATGTACAACTTGCCCTGAGGGCAAGTGATCAAAAAAGTTAAGTTACACCACTGATGATGTATACAAATTATATACCTGAAAGGTAACTTACATCATATTGTGTCATTTAAATACACTGTAAATTAAAAAGGGCTGAAACGACCCCAAAAATGGGGCAAAAACGGTGACCGCAAAATAGATCTTTTTTGGGGGTCAAAATGGCACCTATAACAATGCGGCCCCTAAGGGGTGATTTTGCCCTTCCAGTGTAAGGGCTGTTTCAGCTTTTAGTAGGAGCTGTTTTGGCAAAAGCAGGGGCTATTTCAACTTTCAATAGGGGCCAATTCAGAAAATTAGGGGGCTATTTTGGCATTTCAAGGAGTTAATTTGGCTCCCATTTGTGGTCATAATGAACCCCAAAAAGCGTTGATTTGGCTCGCTAACCGGAGCTGTTTTGGCTACTGAGTTACAGAGTAGTTTCAGCCCCAATGAAGAGCTGCTTTAGAACCGACGGAGCCGATATAGCTTTTCTAATGGTGTAGTTTTTTAGCACCCAAAGGGCCAATATGGTTCTATTTCTGAGCCATTATAGACCACAAGAAAGGCCAATTTAACCCCTACTTTTTAACCAGAGCTATTTTGGCCCTCCCAGAAGAGCACAGTTTCAGCCCCAAAGAAGAGCTGCTTTAGAGCCGAAGGAGCTAATATAGCTTTTTTCATGGTGTAGTTTGTAGCACCCAAAGGGTCAATTTGGTCCAATTTCAGAGCCATTATAGATCCAAAAGAAAAGCCAATTTAACTCCTACTTTGTTAACCGGAGCTGTTCTGGCCCTTTCAGAGGAGAGCAGTCTCAGCCCCAATGAAGAGGTGCTTTAGGTGGTGCCGTTTTATATAGCATTTAAAGTCATGTGGATTTGGTTGCACTCTTGCATGTAGACGTATTCTACATGTATATAATGAATCAGGCAAAAATAATGGGGTTTATTTGGTCTTATTACAATTTCTCCAACAGACCAAGATTGGAATTAATTATTGTAATATAAGTTGAGATAAATAATGTTCCAATTTCTGTATTATAAACACAATACTATAACTAAAATTATAATATACATGCACAGTAGTCAGTATTATGTATCTCACCGAAATGTGGGAACCATCAAAAGATTCGTACATATATGCCATATGGCTCCGAAAGTTTACAATTCTAATTTTAAAGAGCAATCAACTTGTGATAGCAATAGCAGGCGTGGTTGTTAACGTGAACG